GATACCCTTGATATCCTCCCACAACTCATCTGGTCTTCGCTCATTAGTGTTCAAGGCCTCAAACCTGTTCCTGAGATGTCTTCTGACATCCATTTGGTCTTCTCTTCCTCTTCTGTCTTTGCAATGACCATTTGCACTATTCCTGGATGATACCCTTGATATCCTCCCACAACTCATCTGATGAGCAAAGGCTCATTAGTGTTCAAGGCCTCAAACCTGTTCCTGAGATCGTTCTGAAATTCAGGTGTGATAGATTCAAAGTCATATTTGGTTTAATTTTCCTCAGCTTCAGCTTGAACTTGCATATGAGTAGTTGGTGGACAGAATATTAAGTGATCTAGGAAGTATTAAAAGAAGATGGACAGAATATACTGAGTCACTGTATCGACACAGAAGAATTTCATGAAACAACATATGAGCAAGAGCCTATGGTGATGAAGAAAGAATTTCAGGCTGCTTTGAAGGAAATAGCAAAAAATAAGGCCCCAGAAGTAGATGGTATACCAATCGACATATTTTAGCTAACAGATGCAGCCCTGGACATGCTCACCAAGTTGTACCAAGAAATCTGGGGAACAACCACTTGCCCAACTGACTGGAAGAGATCTATATTTGTTCCCATCCCAAAGAAGGGTGACCCAACTATATCATTGATTTCACATGCAAGCAAGATTACACTGAAGATTATCCAAAAATGACTGGAACAGCACATCAGCAGAGAACTGCCAGAAGTCCAGGCTGGGTTTAGAAGGGGTTATGGTACTAGAGATATTGTAGCTGATGTTAGATGGATCTTAGCTGAAAGCAGGGAATACCAGAGGAATGTATATCTGTGTTTCATTGACTATGCAAGGCGTTTGGCTGTGTGGATCATAACAAACTGCTGCTGACTCTGAGAAGAATGGGAATCCCAGAACACTTGATTGTGCTAATGAGAAACCTATACTTGGATCAAGAGGCAATCATCAGAACAGAGCAAGAAAACACTGCATGGTTCAAAATTGGGAAGGGTGTACGC